AGATATGAGAGAGAGAGAGAGAGAGAGAGAGAGAGAGAGAGAGAGAGAGAGAGAGAGAGAGAGACTGGAAACTGAAGTGAGAATTAATCTGGATTCCCCTTTCTTTCTGACCATTCTTAATCTACTACGTGCACAATTCCCTTTTCCCATTTTTATAAACTGTTGACAAGCTCTCCTATATCAATTTTCTCTTGAATGGGCTCAAGGATAAAGGTATGTGCTAGGAAAATTTAAAAAAGTTTGGAGAAAACAAATCCGTGTTACTCAATATGATTTTTTTTTCAGAGATGAGCTATGCACTAGTTTATGCTATGCACTAGTTTATGCTACTTATTTAAAATTACAGAAAGTCTTAATAGTTATCATTATAAGGCAACACTTTCTGTAAAGTTCATGCTATATATTCTGAGGATGTTTTTGTTCCTCTCCTTAATTATATTTTTGGTTTACTATTCCACATATTATTACTTTTCTCAACTGTTGTAATAATCATGGTAAGAACCTTCAGTATGAACCTGATAATATATAAATTATTGCATGTGTATCTATTATTCTAGTATAAATATAAATCCTACTGAAAAGTACTATTTATATGTTGTGCAGGATATTGGCAGCATACTTCTTTTATGAATCAGAATGTTTCGATATTTTTGTAGACCATTTTCAGTTGGAAAAATGAATTTAGCAATGAAACTGATATGAATTATAATTCATCTATTTTCATTCCACCATTTTGTGACTATTCAGTCTGATGTTGTCCTACATAGGTCTTTTGCTTAACTTTAGAGATTCTAGTGCTTCACTTGTTTGGGAAAAAATTGAAGAGCCTTCAATAGATTATCATGAATTTGAAGAACTGTTTTCTAAAACAGCTGTTAAAGAGAGGAAAAAGCCTATTTCGGATACCATCACCAAGACAAAGAATAAACAAGTGAGTATTAAATTATACTTTTCTTTAGGGGGAATTAGAAAACTTTGGCTAAGTCTACTGAAAGACAGCAAGAGTGTGTAGGAGGTCTGTCAGTATCTCATGAATGCTTCATGTAGCAGTCTGAAGGAGATGGAGATACATTCAGCGGAAGCAAATGGTTATGAACAGGGCCACATTGAATATACGTATTTTGTTAGAAGTGGAGAATAAATGTTAAAATTAAAAATCAAATGTACAAGGCAGAATAGAGAGAAGATATGATGTAGATATTAGATGTATAGTAGCAAAAGATAGGTGAGGAATGGAATGGAGAGGGAGATGAACCTCTTCTTCATTGGTTCTTGGCTCTGATCAGGTTTAGGGTACTGATTATTGAGGATTCTCATAATATGGCCAATTGAATAAATATTGGAAACTAATAATAATAATTTCATTGTTTTTTCCTGCTTTTAATTGTTGAAAATTATTAATGAAATACAGAGAGAGAGAGAGAGAGAGAGAGAGAGAGAGAGAGAGAGAG